TACAGGCTGAGGGGTTTGTACAAGCCACTACACCCTACTGCTGCTGATCCTCCTGGTGCCCTGGGTACATCTGAGCTCCTGGTTCAGGGCTCTGAGTTATAAAAGTGTGGGGTACAAGACCAAGCTGTCACACAACCTCTGCCACCACCTGGAGGACTACGTGTCACAGTGCTACGCATCCCTGCCCACCACTGTTGAGGACATCGCCACCATCATCGATGCCTTCCTCAGCATAAGGGACCCATGTCTGCCCAGCTGAAGGGACATGGGCTGTTCAATAAAGTTATGAACTGTGTCCCACCTGTCTGCTGTGGAGGGGAATCTGGAGCTAGGGGACCACAGGTGGGCCAGGCAGGCAGTGGGGGCCAGGGCCAGGGGCAGGGGCAGGGGCAGGGGCAGGGGCAGAGGTGGGGACTGGGAGAGCCCTCCCACAAGTGGGAGACTTACCATGTGTCCAGAGCTGGCAAGTCTGGTGGCTTAGCACAGGCCACCCCATCAGTGATGCCATCTGGCTGCACCCAGTGTCCATGGCCAGTGATGCACAGTGGGCCAGCACCCAGGCAGGGGACCCTCCCCTGAGGAGGAGCTGGTGCTGTTGGTGACTGGAGGTGGCATGGCTGGTTGCTCCTCATGCTTGGGGCTGGGGCTGTGCTGGGGGCAAAGCAGCCACTGGACAGGGCTCCCCAAACTGCCAGTAGATGCAGTGGCCAGGGAGGAGGATGGGGTGGGATGCTGAAGGCCTCCTCTGGTGATGTGTCACCGGAGGCATTAGGGCAGGGCAGGGACTCAGCCAGGTGGCACTCACAGAGGTGCAGTTTGCCTCCCAGAGTGCCAAAATGGAGATCAGCTCTTGCATAAAGGGCATGTACTTTTGGGCATGATCGGATTGATGGTTGAAGTTGGTCACAGCCATACACAATGCCCACAAGACCTTGACTTTTATGCAGCACTGCTGCACTGACTGAGAGTGCTCTTGCTCCCGCATCCCACTTGACAGGGCCTCGTAAATGTGGGTGTTCAAGTGCCCACCCCAAGCAAATTGTCTCTGCACATTGGCACACACTTCCTCCCAGGTCGAGTTGGGGGCACTGGTATTTGGCATGGACATACGCACACAGGCATGGCCGGGGCTCAGTGAAGAGGAGGATGATGACATGGTCATCCCATGCCAGCTCTCTGGGCCCCTGCATGTCTGTCCCTATGTGGCCAGCCCTGGATGGCTGCCCACAGTGCTCAGCGCAGGGGCACAGCCACAGACTGGGTGCCACATGGCAGAGGCACCTCACCACAGGACCTGCAAGCACAGGAGATCGGTGGAGGTGAGCAGCAGCAGGAGACAGCTGGGGGTGAACAGCTGGGTTGAGACAGCCAGGCAGCAGCCCTGGGAGGATCTCAAGGCTGGGCAAGGGGTGCAGAAAGCTGCAACCCTTTGCAACACTCACCTGTGGCCAAGAAGCAGCTCTGGAGGGGGAGAGACCTTTCTGGGGGGACACATGGCAACTGCTGGGCTCCTGGACAGATCATCCATCTCGTCCAGGCTCACTAGGTGTGTGCTCCAGGGCACATAACGACTGCTGGCTTTACAGCCTGCAGCTAGGGGCTTCCAGAGAGCAGCCCAGCCCTGGGGAAGGAGAGGCAGCCATTCAGGAGCCCTGGGGCTGGACTTAGGCCAGCCCCTAGTAGCTGGACAGCTCCAGCTGTTAGTGCCAGGTTGCATCTACATGTGCATTAATGCATTTTATCAAATTTAGGCATGATTAGCCTAAATTCGCCATTTTTAATGCACATTACAGGCATGCATGTGTAGACGCGAGCCCTTAATGTGCATTCAATTAGGCTACTGTGCATTAACGCGTCTCATGTAGACATGCGCATTTTGCTCCAAAAATCAGCTAGTGTTGGTGCCTTTTGTTAGAGCTGTGAGAGAAACTTCATACAGCAGTGAAACCCAGAAGTTTGGTTTTTCATTTGAAAAGTAATGGAAATGTAATTTTTCTTCCACGGTTTGATTTACCCTTTTTGAAGATGAAATGTAACTGCTATGATTAAGGGGAGAGTTCAAGGCCATAATGTAAATACTGATTCTTACAAACTAAGACTATGACCCTGCTCTCAAAATTCAGGGGAGTTTTGCCATTATCTTCACTGGGAGCAAGTCTGAATCTAAGGGCATTTTTACACATGCATGAGTCACAGTGCCAGGCACTGTCAAAAGTGCCCAGTGCTGTGACACATGCAATTGTATAAGTGGCAAAATGTGCATCAATGCTGAGAAAATGGCGGCAGCATGCTTTTGAAATAAAATACCTCAGAGGTGCTTTAGTGCAAAAGTACACCGCTGCCATTTTCTGCACGCTGGCGCGCATTTCACCACTTATACAACTGCACATAGTGCAGTGCAGCTTGCCTCAGCTCGCATGTGGATCAGACTCAATTAATCAAATCTGCTCCGAAGCAAGGGATCTCTGTCACGTTGCGGGGAAAAAAAGTATGAGTATAAATGTCCTAAGTCTCTGCTTACACAACATTTGTCTGATGCCTCTTTGCACTCTTAACTTCCAGTCCTTTACTTCCAGTAATCTTCCCTCTTTTCTCCCTTCATGGATGGAGGAACACTGATTCTTTCATTTTACTTTTTATGAGGAATCTGTAAAGCAGTTTTCAAAGCATAGTAAACCTTAGCTCCATTTTACAGATTAAAATCTAACACACAGAGAGGCCACATGCTTGTCTAAGTCCCTCCAATAAATCAATATATTGATGGCATTAGAACCCTGGTGTCCTGATGTCCTACATTGAATGCTAACACATGAACTGTTGTGCCTCCAAGTTTTAAATGCCTAAGATAAAATTTTCAAAACTGACTTAAGAAACAGAGTACCACTGAAAGCAAATGGGCTAACAAATGTATTTTTAAAACTATTCCATCACTCAAATATGCATCTAGCAATCCTGTGAGAATGCTTCTAACTCTCCATCCTTGCTCTCCATCCTTGCTTGCATTCCTGGAGGTTTATGCTGGATTGTGGATTATGCTGCTCAGAGAATTGCCAAAGTGTAGGACAGTGTGTCAGCAGGGGTCTAAAGAAAGACAATATGCCAAGGCACATACCCCTGCAGTCATCTGCATTTTAAAGGAAGGAAGGAAGGATAATTTATGTCTTGTATTAAGACTCCTTTGATACAAAGGACCATGTCCACATTTGGTGAAAATCAGTATCCTTCAATTGCATTCAATGCATTTCTCAGCACTTAGTGAGTTCCTTTTGTTTAATATTATGAGCAATTAAAGAAATGTTCCTGGTCACTCATTGACTTTCATGTGATTGCATGTATGAATATTCATACATAGACACCACCGTGCTAGAAGACTGGAGGGAATGTAATAAGTACACTAAGTATACTCTACTGAGTATAGCGGGAGATAAACTTATCAAAGCTGTTTAAAGGCCAGACTTTTAAAGGCATTTAGCTAAAGGCAGATGTCATGTGGAAAGAAGGAGTTGGTCTAAGTAAGAGTTAGAAGCATTCTCACAGGATTGCTAGATGCATATTTAATAAAAGACATAAATTATCCTTCCTTCCTTTCTTTACAATACAGATGACTGCAGGGGTATGTTCCTTAGCATATTATGTCTTTAGACCCCTGTTGACACATTGTCCTACACTTTGGCAATTCTCTGAGACAGCATAATCCATAATCCAGCATAAACCTACTGGAACTCAAGCAAGGATGGAGAGCAGTGTGAATCGGGCCCTACTAGAGCAAAACTCCCCTTAACTTCACTGGGGCTCAGATTTCACTCCAGTTTCCTTTTGTAAATTGTACTGAGGTTGTTTAATCAGCATAAACTGGACAGAACTGTGAAATGCACATCAGTAATAAAATGCATGAGCTTTGAATGAAGATTTAGAGAGGGCAAATCCATTTGCTGCTACCACTTCTGGCTCAGCAGTCACCACTGCTCTGGCTCCCACTACCACCCAAAATATGGAAATTGCTTGTTACACCTGTGCTGCACATCATATGTGTTATTAAAGAAAGGACCCTAAATCTAAAGATTTAAACCAGTAGAGAAATTATTTTAAAACAATTTGGTGACAAACAGAATACAGTTTAAGAAAAATCTAAGCTAAGGAAGAAGGTAGTTTGCGTCCTGTATGAGTGAAGCTTCCACTGTAATTCACTTGTGGCCACTGCATACCAGATAACCTAACACAGAAATGGGAGTACGTTTGAGTCACCCAACAGATTCTCCATTTTTCCGCCTCCTGAGACAGCATCACAATTCTTGATGAGTGATGTTAATTTGGTGTGCTTTTTCATTTTGAGAGGATGAAAACTGAAGCAATGCAGGATGTTATTCTGAGCAAAATTAAATAAGGCCTCCAGGCGAGGAAAAGGAAAAGAACCTTTCCAGATTCCATTCAAAATGTTTTTAAGAAAGTATTTATTTTTGCACATCCTTATGAGGCTCCTATAGCTTCTGGCAGTTGCCTCATTACATTTAAGCTCTACAGACTTCTTCTCTTACACCTATGTAAATTAGGGGTTAATTCAGTGGAATTACACTAGTATAAAACTGTTGTAATAAAGAAGAGAATTAGGCCTGAATAATTTTATTTAAAGCCTGTGACTGAGTTCATCTTCAAATGTCATCTACTTTACTTCATTTTGGTAATGCTGTGCACATAATTAATAAACCTGTTATATTTGATCTACTATTAATTAGAAAATGTATTTGTTCTAATTCTAATTAGAAAATGACTCTGACATTTTGATTTACAAAACTTTTGGGTTTGCCTTTTCTGCCTTCTGAGCAGATAGGTATACTCTGTGGTAATAAATGGGAGGTCTTGCTGAAGGTGCCTTCTCTGCTGACAGACCTTTGTTTAAAGAAGGGGAATTGAGGTACAAGTCAGAACTTTAAAATGTATTTCACAAAACTATCACATGTTAACCTATTCTAATAGTTGGGGCTTTTTTTTATTTTTTCCAGTCACAATATTCTTCTCTATGAGGATGGTCATGCTGTTGTTGCTGACTTTGGAGGTGAGATTTGCTGATTAACCTGAAAAATGTTATCAGCTTCTCTAAAACTACAGCTGTTTTCTATGATGAATGTCAGACTAGTTGAGAGTACCCTTTGCTTCATTATTTTCTTGGGAATGACTCTGGAAAAGAAATGTTGGGGTTCTTTAGGATTCCCTATTGCAGTTTTTCTTATATTCATGGTATATATGAGGTCATTTGACAGACAAGCAAGAAGGCAAGGTGTTTTCAAGATGCTAATACCCCTGAACCTCACGTCTCATCTAAGCCAGCTAGTGCTGTTGAATACTTAGCAGCTGAGGTTGAAATATAAGCTGGATGGAGTTCAAATGGCTGAGTCTCAATTCAGATAAAAATGAATCTTTTCTGGGAGGATGGAGGAAGCACATGGGAACATTTCAAGGGTTATGGCTAGGCAAGGTTCTTTGGTTAGAAGTGATATCTTTTATTAGACCAACTGAGTAGTTGGGAAAAAAGTTCTTATAGCAAGCTTTTGGGCACAGTCACCCTTCATCCGGCCTAGGAAGTCTCTGCTGGTCTGAGACTCCAAGGAATGAGAGAAGCTAATGGAAGCTAATGAATGAGAGAAGCTTCCTTGGCCAGCAGAGACTCCCCATGCCTGACGAAGGGTGAGTGCACCCGAAAGCTTGCTAAAAACTTTTTCCAACTGCTCAGTTGTCTAATAAAATATATCACATCTAACCAAAGAACCTTGCCTGCCTATGTCCTCAGACCAACACAGCTACAGCCAAAAACTCAGCAAGGGCTATAGCTGTCTTTCCAATTGAGGACGGGTCTTCCTCTTTTGTTACTGGCATTCGCAGTTTGGGGGTGGTGTTGGAACCAAGCTGTTATCATATAGTCCTCTAGCAGCTATCTTTATTTGGAGAGTAAAATGTGGCTGTTTCTTAATGAACCTATTACTTCAAAATCAGACCAGGTTACACCGTAAGAATCTGAAGCTGGTGGACAATGCCATGGCTTTACTTTCTGGGGGCACAGATCTTCATTACTTGCCTGTTGATGTTTGTGTAGAGCTTAAGCAGCTGATTTTGATCTACAAAGTCCTAGCCACCTTAGGACATGTTACATTATTTTTGTCACTATGTCATATAGTCAAAAAGAGCTGAGGCCTGTGAGCATCAATTTAAAAGAGAGGAAGATGCTGGTGTGATAGTATCCATGAAGGGCCTTTCAATTGACTCAGACACACTGCAAGTTAAGTTAGCTGCTTTCCTAGGTTACATTCTGGAAAGCAGTATGTACTAAAAACAAATTATTTTATGTTCTTTACAAATAAAAATCCTTAGTTGGTGTTATTCATTACTCAAGTCAATGGGAATTATTAGCCAGTTGCTACCATCCAGGAATCTTGCTCACTGATTTAGGTAGTCCCATTTTATCCGAAATGCCTTCATGCACCCTCATTGAAGAATAGGCCATTGTAGTTGTTTATAAAAGTTTTGGGTTTCCACTAACGCTTCTGAAAAATGGGGTCTGTCTGTAGAGTGTTTTTATTTGAAACTTATTTTTTTTCCTCTCAGAATCAAGATTTTTGCAGTCCTTGGATGAAGACAATATGACAAAACAGCCTGGGGTTTGTTTCTTGCTCTTTTCCACATACTTAGTAAAAAAAATGTGTGTAAATTCATCTTAGGAGCAAATGAAAAGTATAACAGTGTTTTTAACTGGAATGAATGCCATTGCCAAGTGACAGTATAACACCCTGTTTCTTTTGTATAGTAATTCTTTCATAAAATGTTTGAGATCAGCTTTTATAATGACAGAAATTATTAACTACCTAATGCTTTGCACAATAGAGAACTTGTTTGTGAGTGTATTTAAAAAAGGTGTTTTTATATGGCCCCACTGCCCCTTGATTCTTTGGTATGAAATGCAAAATGACACACACGTGTTGCTGTTGGTTCAAATTTCTAAAGAGGAAGCTGTTGTTATCCAACATAGATTTCCTTCTAAGTTCTTTTCTCAGATAAACTTCTCATGTAATTTCAGTTGTTTAAAACAATACCCAAAGTTTCACAAACACCTTTACAAAATGTAGCCCGTACCGTTTCCACCTGTTACACAAAGGTCGTGATACACTGCTGAGTCAGAATCAGTTACCATGGACTATATTATAGCATTAGCAATGGGGTTTTGAAATCATCCTATTAAAAACAGTAATGTGAAAGAACTATATGAGCAGAAGTGCTTCAGTTTTGATGTCCATTTGGTTCTGACAGTATATGCAAAGGACCAGAGTAAGACCATCCACTTCTAAACCAGCGGGTTGCTGTTTGTTTGTGAAGCAGCTACATATGTAGGCTTCTGCAGAATGCATTGATAGCTCAGGACAGAAGACAAACTCCCTACATGCACATAATTGCCACTGCCATTATTCTACCCTATAGATTTTAGCAGCTATAACTGGAATTAGGTATGCTAAAGCTCTGTTGCCTGCTCTCAGGGTGGGAATTTAGATTTCAGCTTATAGAGTATGCTCTATGCTACTCTTCTCTTAGATAAAGACAGCTTACTTTGCTTTTATACAGGCAAGGTGAAGGTCATCCTAATGCTGAATATACAATATACCATGTTGTGATTTACTCTATGAATTTTATATGCTACAATGAATATTTGTTTTAACAGCTTTACCCATTAGCTTATTGCAGAAAATGACAGAAAGCAAATGCAAAAGTAGAGAAAAAGACATGATCCCCAGCAAAGGAACAAAACACTTTGTTAATGCATTATTGATGTTTTCTTGATGTACAGAACCTACGCTGGATGGCCCCTGAGGTATTCACTCAGTGTACAAGATATACGATAAAAGCTGATGTTTTCAGTTATGCTTTGTGTCTCTGGGAATTGCTAACAGGTGAAATACCATTTGCACACCTTAAACCAGGTAAGGTACTCAGCTATCATTAGGACCACTTACACCTCTAAACTACAGAGAAGTAGCTGCATGGCATCTGAATAATCTATATTTTACTAGAATTCTAAATGTGTTAGGAGCCTGTCATCCAATTAAAACCAAAACTAACACACTACAATCATCTATTATTCAGTAAAATAGATGCACTATCTATTTAATGGAAATAGGTGACTCCAGGACCTGGTTTTACCTTCAGGAATTTTCAACAGCACATGCTTTCTACCTTTCAAGGCTGTTGAAATTATCAAGTTATTTTCACTTTATTGTCTTCTAGCACATATTCTTAGGTAACTAAGGAATGTATCCACAAAGAATAGCTTCCTAGCACCAACAACTCAGCATTTCCAGGACTGTAACTTTGCAACCAGTGGTATCACCTTTCTGATTTTTTTTAATCATTATAATAATTTTTTGCTTCATTATAGTAGTAGACCAGGGGTTTTCAAACTTTTTTAGTAAGTGTAACCCTGGCAGCCAGATGTATGCGAGGGGGAGGGGGTTGGATGCAAAGCAGCGGCAGTGTGGGGTAGTGGGTGGGAGCAGCCCCTGCCATGTGCAACCCACAGAGAGGCATTGCTGCCCTTGCCCTGCCCCGGACCTGCTCCTGAGAGGCGGTGGCACTCCATTCCCACCTGCCTGCGCGTACCCCTAAGGCCTTCCCAAGTACCCCCACGGGCACGCGTACCCCCAGTTGACTTCTCCTGTAGGAGACTATATGAACTTCAGGGCGCTTCTGGATTTGGGTAGAACTTTGGAAACTGAATGGAAACCATTCCAGAAATGGAAAGTTCCTCAACATTTGGGCAACTTCTTTTTTATGGGAAGGTGGGTGTGCAAAATATGGTGGTTAAGAGGAGAGATGTTATATCTGCAAGGGCTCTTGGATGGATTTTAAACAGATTTTTTGCTTGTTGAAGGAAGAGTAGACAGTGAATTAAATTCTGTTCTTGGAAAAACAGTTTTTATTTATACTATGTAATTTTTTTGCCCAATTAGAAAATAAAATATCAGCAACTGTATATAGTCTCTAGCTAGTTATCTAGCTTAGGGCAAACCATGAGTGGTTAAGCTGTGGCCCTGGGGCTCCTGCCTAGCGCTGAGGCAAAAAGCCCGGGCTCAAATTTGCACCGCTTCTATTTGAGCTGCTTCAAGCGCACGTGCCTGCATGTGTGGACATGCCCAAGGTGTCAGAAATATGACCCATGGGTTAGATCTGGCCCACAGAGCCCTGTCATTCAGCCTCCCATGGGTCTTGGACTGACCACACATGCTACATACAGCACAGACCAGCCCAAGTGGTGGCAAGATCCCAGCTTTAGGCATACTTGTGCTGGAGAGTTTGAAAGGCTGGAGTCACAGGTATATCAGTATGAGTCTGGAAGGAGAATGTCCCCCATGTAATGCAGGAATTTTATGGTTATGGAAAAATTATCAGAGTTCCCAGTAAAAAAGACTGACTTTCAGTACATTCAATAAAGCTGTTTTATCCTATCTCTTGTAAATAAATACATTTAAGAACTGAAGCACAATTCTACATGACAATGGTAATTTTATTCCTTAATACTTCTTATTATTTATAGTTGCGCTATGTTTAAGAATAGAAGGATATCACTTACCGATCAAAAGAGAATACTGCATGCTAGTATTGCACAAATCTTGGAGTAGGAAGTTTCATGAACCATCTGAACTACTTTTCTGTTTCAAAAATCAATTCAGAAACATATTCTTGCCACTTCGTTCAGCATTAAAAAGGATGTTGTTTGTTTTATTTTTTTAGCTCTATGTTCTTGATAACTGATGGGAAAGCCATGCTATCCCTAGGAAGAAAAGAACACCTCAAAAGTTACATTGACCTAAGTAGAGTATATGCAGTATTATATACACTCAAATGTTCACACACAATACTGTACTTTGGGTATAATCCTGTCTGCACTAAAATCAATAGCAAGATTCCCAATGACTTTAGTCAGCTAGGATTTCATCTAGAATGTAGTATGGAGAAAGAAATAGAGTGTGTAAATAGAAAGATAGTTATATTTATTTTTCACTAACAACTTTATCTCTGTTTATTCCTTTTTTACTGCATGTAAGAAAAACATAAAACCATCAATGTTTGTCTCATCCTTTCAAAGTCACATTAAACTGGGATCTAAACTAAGCAAAATGTTTTTGCCCCTGCTGTCCTCTCCTCCTGCCCCCCACTACATATCATACTTAACTGATATTAATATTCTGAAACATCGTTATAGAGGTCAAGATTGCAACACAGACAGTGGCTCAAATTAATCTATTCTTGTGACAAAAACTGTAATGAGAATGGGCTCTGGTTAAAAAAAATTAAACCATTCTTGTTAAAATCTCAAGATGGAAATCTCCTGGTCTCCCTTCAGATGCCATAGACTGATGATACATCATTTAAAAGTGTCAGTTAACAAAGAAGTTTACTTAGCTCTGTCTATGAGGAATTTGATTTGACTTGATATATCCTGGTTGTTTAAAAAGAATTCAGGAGATCAATTATGTTTTTTTAAATTACTAGATATATAAACACAATTAGGAAAATAGTCTGATCTTTTTATCATAATCAGTAGTGACTAGCCCATATAAAAAGGCACTCCTTTTTTTCTCTAAATAAATGCTTGGAAACCCCTCGCACAGTTGACTTAAACGTTTGGGAAGTCAGGATATGGGAAGATAGAATGTGGTAACAATTTATCCGTAACTTGAGTGTATCTAATTAAGTTGATTATTGAAAGATGCTTGGTCGTTCTCTCTTAATGAAGGACTTTTATTATAATGTCATCTGAGAGGTGAGGGTTAATTGATGTTTCTTTCAAAGGCTATTTTATATGGTCTGCACCTGAACCTGATCATCTTCGACCAGCTTTAACCTTGGCAGAAGTTCATTCATATGCAGAATCACTGGTTGTTACATTAAAATATTTTGACCCATTGGCTTTACCTGCCAGTTTGCTACTTAAGCATTTTTTAGCTGTTCATGACTCTAATTTATTCACATAGCAAAATAAAATGTGTTTGCATAGGAATATTTATGATACCTGAATATTAATTAAGCTTCATTATGTCATCTTATTTGCAGCTGCTGCTGCAGCAGATATGGCCTACCATCACATCAGACCTCCAATAGGGTATTCAATTCCCAAGCCCATATCATCATTGTTAATGAGGGGCTGGAATGCATGTCCTGAGGTAAGTGCACCCACTTCCTTCATCTACAGAGACGTGATTGCAAAGGTTTGTCATGTGTAAAAGGCCTTATTTACAAAGGCCTAAGAAAGAAAATGGCCAGCTGGATATGCTTCAATTTGCTAACTCTTATTTCTGTTACCTCTGAAGATACCCCAGATAGCTTAATTATTCTTGTGACTGGTAGGACAGAAAGCTCTGAGAGCGAAAGGGAGATATACTTCAGTTTGTTTTGAGGAATCTCTTACAAATGAAGACACATGGAGAAATCTTTTCTCTAGGATAAATCTCAGAAGGAAACTATGACCCACTGTTGAGGACCAGTGGAGGCTGGTCTAGGTAGCATTTACACCCCCCCATAAAGAAATCTGATGACTATTATAATTAACTGCTCTCTTGTGGCTTTTTGTTTGAACCCAAATCATGACTTGGCCTGTCTGCCCATGCAGGAGAGTAGGGACTCCTCTTGCACATTGGCATGCGCTACCTAAACCTTGGGCTTGGGCACTGCTTATATCACCCTTCAGAATAGGTGACTGGAGAGTAGACTTGGAGCTGTAACCCTTCTCCACTCACTGAAGGTGCAGCTGAGCCAGCTCAGTGCATTTGTTTTTAACATTGGCCAGCAGCAAATTGCCAACCAAGGGTCTGCGACTCAGCAATGTGTGCCTAGATCACAGAACCTCTTGTGGCTGGTACTAGGGTAATGCTTAGTGCTCTGTCTGACTCACAAATGAACCCTTAATTGATTTAATATTTCAACTGACAAGATAGAAAGCATATACAGTAACAAAGTGGAGGCAGCCTGGTTAGATGAGCCATATATCTCCTGCCCTGACAATTTGTATGTGGTACTAATAACACCCTTTCTTTTGCTCACTCCATTTCCCTTATGGCTGGGGTCTTTTTTGTTTTGGGTTTTCAATCCTACACGGTTTGCATGTTTTGTCTTCCTATTTTTGTCTGTTCTATTGTTTGAAAAGGAGATGTTTTAGTTAATTTTGCATCTAGTCAGACACAAAAGAAAGTATAAGAGAAGGAGAAAAGAAAGAAACAGAAGGGCTGATTAAAAACAGCTAGGAAGGAAATCAGCAGAAACTGACTGAAATGAAAAAAAATGGTGTGACTGCACAAGTAAACGAGAGAGGTAGTTAGCCATATTAGTCTGAAGTTAGACCGAAGATCAAGCATCTTGCAAACTAGCTTCTTCAGAGAGGCATCAGCTTTCGGGATAAGTACAGACATTCAAAAAGCCCACAGCTGAATTGATTCAATCTTCACAGGTTAGTCTAAGCTGCATAGACTGAACTGATGAGTAAGTGAACAGACATTCACTTCTGATTCCAGAAATGTAGCCACATACCTGCAGTGGCTTAGGCTAGAAACCAGGGGGTGCTGGAGCATGCGTTCCTGCTAGGCTGGAGGAGACAACTTGGGCCAAAGCTAGCCCACCCAGCCTGGAAGGGGGGAGGGGGTTTGCAGAGGAGGTGCAAAGCATCCCAGGATGGGCAAGGACTGGGAGTTAACTTGAATCTGGGGGGAGGGAGGGAGATCTGGGACAGAAATTCAATAAACTGATTTTACCTAAATCAGTTAAGTCTGATACTACATCCAACCAGGTTTATCTTAAACCAGTTTCAGCCATTTTGAAAGTGGTTTATGTGCACTGAACTTCTGTTGTGTTACAGATTTGAACTGGTTTTCAATCACTTATACCAGTTTATGTGTAACTTCTGTCCCTAGCCTTGTAGGCTAGCCTGCCAAGAGAGGCAAAGTTGCTAAAGTGTGTAAAGAAGACAGAGAGAAAGAAAAGTCTAGATAGATTTAATTATAGGATATAATTATTTAGGCATGTAACAGGGCTTTATAAGTTTCTCTTGTAAATAGGGATCCTGGTTTTCTCTGTTTAAAAATCCAAAATTCTCTGATTAAAACCCCCCAAATTTGCATTTTTCTGTAATTAAAATGAAAGGCCACTATATATATATAGTGGTAGATATATATAGGTATCAGATGCACACAATGTTTTATTGATATATTTACAATTTTAAAGCACTTCAGAAGCCTACCAGTGCCTCAATCATTATAGTAAAATACATTCTAAATACTATATATTTAGGTGTTTGTTTTTGGGTTTTTTTATCATAGAAGATCAAACTTCTCCCTGCCCCCTTTGCTCACCAGGATGCAAGTCCAGCTGTGACTGTTCCCACAGCTGCTTTGTGGTGCTTAGCATGCTGGTGCCCTGCCCCTGCCCATTCTGTTGCCCTCACTCCCAACCCGCATCCCCCCCCAGTCACTCCCTCCCAACAGCAACTCCCACCCTTCGACCCCCATACCAGGCCATAGATCCAGCTGCAGCTGTCCTGCCTGCTGCTGCTTTGTGGCTCTGAGCAGAGCCACACCCTGCTGTTCTGCTCTCTGCCCCCATGTGCCCAGGCCCCAGTAGTCCCCATACCCTTCCTGGGAAACCCTTGACTGGGTTCAGGGACTGGGCTGGGCTTGCCTCTGGCTGGGCAAGCCCTTTCCCTTTCAGGCCAGCCTCCCCCTGTACAGGCTGCTTTAGCAGTCCAGGTGGACTCCAAAGTGCCCCCCACCACCATTTCTCTCTCTCTCTTACCCACACATGACCAACCTGCTCCCACCTCCAGCCCAAGCATAGACTTCCCCCTGGCCCATCACAACTGCCTGAGTGCTTCCCAGGATCAGGATCCCCCTCAGAGCAGGCAAGACTGGCAAGGCCACAGGCCAGGCATGGAATCATGCAGGCTAGATGTGCTGCTTATCTCCTCTCCTCCCTTCCCCACGCCCTGCTGTGCAGCATGCCCCAGTCACCACCTCCAGTATTAGCCCCAGCAGAGCTGCCAGCAGCCACTGCAGACACAGGCTGGTGGGATATGGTACAACAATGGAGTGAGCAAGGGGGCAGCAGTCACAGAGAATGAGCAGTGCTCACCCCCAGTATCCCAGCCCTAGCTCTGGGCACTGCCCCAGCTGAGCAGCATTCCCAGCCCCAGCCCCCCCATCCTGACCTGAGGACACCTGGCCTGGTGAGCAGGAGGGCAGCATGCTCCTTCCCTCCCTTCTGCACTGAACTGCTGCCACTGCCAACCCAGCTGGGCAGCATCCTCAGCCCCAGCCCCCAACCCTGCCCTGAGTGTGCCTGGCCTGGTGGGCAGGGGCACAGAATGTAATCCCTCTCTCCCTCCTTCCTGCACTGAGCTGCTGCTATTGCCACCCCAGCTTGGCAGTGCTCCCAGCCCCAGCCCAACTGAAATGAGGCACAGTGGGACAAGGCAGCCTACACCTGCCCCAGCCTTGGCCCATGGCACAGGGCAGGGTGATGGACACCCACAAACCCCTGCCCTGCCCCCTGCCCAGCCTGCTAGCTCTCCCCACATGCCCCAGCCCCACTAGCAGCATGACCCTCACCTGACCCACAGGGCCCACCCCAGCCCTTCTAGAGGGGGCCCCCAGCTGCCTCCCACCCCCAGGGCCCAGCCCCTAAAAGCTCAACTTACCCAAAAGGCCACAGGAGGGAAACTGAGTCTGAGCCAGCCCTGGCTGACTCAGATTCTCAGGCCTTGCCCCCAGCCCCTCTGGACAGGGCTTGGGGTTTCCTGTCCTTTTGCAAGTAGCTCTTGCAGGCTGGAACTCTGCCTGCCTGCAGAGAGCTGTTTGCAAAAGAGGAAACCTGTGTTTTGACCATTTGAGGAAAGGGGAAAATCCACCTTTTTTCTCCTTTAAAGAGCAAAATCCACATTTTTCTGTGGTTTTCTGCAGAAAATAGAAAACCCTGATCCCTGCTTATAAAGCATTTTTTCTGACTTGCACTGGGTAAATAGGAGGGTGTACTGGTGGTCCTTTTCTAGAGCTTATCAGGTATTGAATTTCTCTTTTTTTATCAACTAAAAGAAAATAATGTAATTAAAAAGAGGATCCAGGTCACTCTACAGGTCTTAATTTTCCTTCTGTACTGCCCTGAGATTAACATTCAACTACCCCTGCCTCTGCAGTAGCAGCCGGTGAAAAAAATTGGAATAAAGAAATGAAAATGAGAGGAAGGAAGCTAGGAAGAACACTTCCAGTTGTTTTCCTGGAAAATGGTTACATTAAATATTCCCTCTTTTGTAAATAGGTGAGGAATGCATTGTCAGTCTGGAAAAGGGCAGATAAATCTCAGAATTTATGATCATCTCTGAAGGAAAAGAGGAACAATTAAAATGTCTTCCTCCAAAAATATTGGGGACTTATTTTTGGCCTTGCTTCCAGTACTCTAGGCATCTTAATGCTTTCCACTTGTCTTAACCTAATACAGCCTAGGCTGAGATTTTTTTTCTTTCTGTACATTCCTGAAATGTCATTGTCATAAACATATATTTACTTTTCATTTTGTTTCTTGCTCTCAAAGGAATGCATTTCTCTCCTCTTGTAAAAAGGATTGCTAAAACCAAGTGATAATATATTGCCTAGCCCAAGAGACCAATCCTAGAAGTTGATATGTTAATGAGATATTTATTTTTCAAAACCTTTAGTTAATAACAATGAAGAGATGAAAGTCTCTTGGATTTGTTCAAACCATTTTTTATACAAAACCATGGTGTTTACACAGCTACACTAGCTAATTACTTGGTGATTCTGAAATGACTGAATCAAAGATCTCCACCTAGTGGTTAAAAATAAATTACTAGGCTTTGTATAGAGGATCAGTTGCTTTAATGACTGGGTCAAATTTCATTCTCTCCTGCTCTTCTCCCCTCCACCCACCCCCAAACAATTTAAAGGGTTTATAAACTTTTACAGTTTGTACAGAGACCAGAAATCCTAAAGAGCTAAGTGAATTTAAAATCAAATTTAATAGTTACAGATTAAAGAAAAAAATTACATTATCTATCAAGCAAGGGCAGTAATAAATGGAGCACAGAAATGTTTTAAATAATGCAAGTTGTACACTGTAGGCAGCAGCAACATTTATAGTTGTCATAAATGCAGTACTGTACATC